CTGGGACCATAACTAATTTCTCTTTCATTCCCCCAAGGAATTCAGAGCAGTCGTTCTTATTAACTGATCAGGTACTCTAGAAGAGCTTTAGGCACTAGAGACCCTGGTCAACTGCTGATGATGCAGAATCTGACAAAAGAGTAAAGTCCTATTCAGCTGCCCTTTCTGAGCCATGACATCCCATTATGAGAGAGAGGGGAGCTGGCTGAGGCTACCACAACTTCTCTTCTTCCCTCGACCCCTCTTCTGCCCACCTAGGGCACACGCCTCACTTCCACCAACTCCTGAGCTTCTTTGCTTCAAGATCGGCTCTGACCCAAGTAGAGCTGAGGGGCCCCAGAATAGTCACCCCTTGGGAACAGCACTACCTCATACCCTAGCCCCTGGGGTGGAAAAACTTCAAGGCACAGTCTGTGTATTTCCCTGGTGAAAGCAGCTCTGGTCACCCACAGCAGTGAGTCGCTTGTAACACCGCCACTCTGGCCCCTTGCCTATCTCATGTTCTCATATCCCAAAAAACTTGCCTTTGAATCTTATGTCAAGGTCAACTTCCAACGGGACTCAAGCCAAGGCAAGCTGTTACTTTTCCACTTGAACAAGTGGAATGAGGTATGTGAGATCTATCGTACAGAATGGTGGATATAGTATGGTTAATAAAGAGAGTATATTTCAAAATCTCAAAGGTTCTCACAAGAATAAATATCCAAGATGATGGATATATTAGATTGAATGAATAATTTCCCATGTGCACATATTTTATGACTTTGTATCCCATAAATATATGCAATTATAATTTCTCAATTTTCAATAATTTTTAAAACTGTTCTGTTTTATTCTCCCCCCTTATAAAATTTGGTCTTTTTAGATAAACATGATAGAGTGTACTTTGACATACATACATGAAGTACAACTTCCCATTCTTGTGGCTGTACATGATGTGGACTTACACTGGTCATGTATTCATACATAAACATAGGAAATTTATGTCATGTTAATTCTATTGTCTTTCCTATTCCCATCCCCTCTACTTTCCCTTCATTCCCCTTTGTCTAATCTAATGAACTTCTATTCTTCCCTCCTCCCCTCCTGTGTTTTAGTATCCATACATCAGAGAGAACATTCGGCCTTTGTTTTATTAGGATTGGCTTATTTCACTTAGCATGATAGTTTCCAGTTCCATCCATTTCCTAAAAAATGCCAAAATTTCATTCTTATTTATGGCTAAGTAATATTCCATTGTGTATATGTATCACATTTTATTTAATATTTTTTATTTACATATGATAGCAGAATGTATTACAATTCTTATTACACATCTAGAGCACAATTTTTCATATCTCTGGTTGTATACATAGTATATTCACACCAATTCATGTCTTCATACTTTTACTTTGGATAATAATGATCATCACATTCCACCATCATTAATAACCCCATGCCCCTTTCCTTCCCCTCCAACTCCTCTGCCCTATCTAGAGTTCATCTATTCCTCCCATGCTCCCCTTACCTATCCTACTATAAATTAGCCTCCTTATATCAAAGAAAACATTCAGCATTTGGTTTTTTTGGGAATCACACATCAGATAGAGCACTAATCTCTAGGATATATTGCCGGGTTTCTGTTCTCATGACTAAAAGGCTCAGGGATCACTCCAGTTGAACTGGGCTAACTGGGCTATGCAAAAATAACCACACAAGAGACACAAATACCTTTTTCTTTGGGGTCCATGTTAAGGCTCCTCTGACCTTAAGGGTCCGCAGGAAGAGAGAGCAAGAGCACACACTGACCCCTTTTATTGAGGAGAAGCTATTCAAATGAGGCAAGGGGTCAGGTTTCAGGAGGCTGAGTCTATCTTCATGATTTCCACTGTCAGCAGGTTGACTGACATCTGGGTAGGCCACACCCAAGGGCACAGTAAGAGAAGGGAACACACACAAGGCACTTCCATGGAAGATTCTATCGTAAACAGGGAAAGGGGTTATATTACAAAGGAACAGGTGAGCGTAGCTTCACCCATGGGGCTGAAGCAAAACACACCCATGCACAAGCCACTAACCCTCGACCCCAAGAAGGGTGGGGGAAGCTCTGCCACATTTCTGTAACTGAGCACCTCAGCACCCAGCTGGGGAGTGTGACCCAGTCACATACAAGGTTGGTCTCCCCCAGTATATAAAGAACTTAAAAAACTGAACATCAAAAAAACAAATAACCCAATCTATAAATGGGCCAAGGACCTGAATAGACACTTATCAGAAGATAATATACAATCAATCAAAAAATACATGAAAAAATGCAAATCAAAACCACTCTAAGATTTCATCTCCACTCCAGTCAGAATGGTAGCTATTAAAAATACAAACAGTAAGTGTTGGCGAGGATGTGGGGAAAAGATACATGTATACACTACTGGTGGGACTGCAAACTGATGCAGTCAATATGGAAAGCAGTATGGAGATTCCTTGGAAAATTGGGAATGGAACCACCATTTGACCCACCTATTCCTCTCCTCAGTCTATACCCAAAGGACTTAACAACAGCATACTACAGGGACACAGCCACATCAATGTTTATAGCAGCACAATTCACAACAGCTAAACTGTAGAACCAACCTAGATGCCCTTCATCAGATGAATGAAGAAAATGTGGCATGTATACACAATGGAATATTACTCAGCAATAAAAGAGAATAAAATCATGGCATTTGAAGGTAAATGGATGGAGTTAGAGAAGATAATGCTGTGTGAAGTTTCACTAATTTTTTTAAAAGCTCCCTTGGTGACTACATTGCATCTTCCTATAGTTTTCACTGCCACTTCCATTTTTTTCCATCAGCTCCTACCCCCTTTTTTCTTATGTCTTAACTTTTGGACTACAGATCATTTCTCACAAATGGTATTTATATAAGCAAATATAATTGAGCAATTGAGGAGTACACCAAGAGGGTCAAGAAAAACAAGATTAAGAGAAGCCCATGAGACTCTGCTTAGAAGTTAGATTTTGTGTAAAAAATAGAAAAAGCTGAACCAGAACACAAGAGAATACCATATCAGTATAACTATACCAAGTTTCACCTCCTTTAATAATCTCATACTCAACAAGTCAACGTAACAGGTCATTTAAGATTAAGGAAAGTGGCACCAGACAGTCAGGGCCCATGAGGTGGCTGTGTTGGTTAAGTTATTAAATTTCCCTAAGTCTCATCTGTATAATTTCCTCATCCAAGATCTGGGGATAATAACAGCAACTACCCCAGAGCCATCGGGAGAATTAATGGTTAGTGTTTGTAAAGCACATAAAACAGCACCTGGCATATCCTGGTTAATTAAGAGATTTGCACCTCAATGACTTCAGTGAGATTCTTACAACATTGCTGGTAGAAGACACAACAGATCCTAAGAGGAATTCTGCAAACATGGTGCTTAGCTGCAGGTGAGGGAACATCTAGCTCTCTGGCTTAAACCAGAAGGGGCCACCAAGTTGACAGAACACTGGTGCCACCATTCCTTCCATTCTGCAGTTCCCCTGTCCTCTGTGTGCAGCTTTTATGTGACTCTGTTCCAGGCAGAGCTGAGGAAGTAGCAGCCTCTCTCCCAGGAAGGCTTTCTTTGTGAATCAGAGGCCAGAACAGGCCAGCCAGGCACACCCAGACATAAGTGACATTCAGATTTTAACAACTGTGCTTTTCAGCTTCTAAAACTAAAAATGACAAAGGAAAATGTGCTTGGAAGGAGTCATAAGCATAATGCCCTTCAGCTTCAGAGGCTCGTCTGTGCTCTGGCTTTCTAAGACTGACAGCCCATCGTCCCAGACATCCACAGAAAACTGAGTTGGAAAATCTTTAGGAAAAATGTTTTGCACAGCCAGGAAAACCAAAGCTTTGTGTGCTAAGCCACTGGTCCCACCGGAAGGGCTGGGCCATCCCTGGAGAGGCTCCGGGGCACCTGCTGCTCCCATGCCCACTGCAATCTCCCAGGCTGAGGCAGAAGCCTCCCTCCTCCCACCTGGCTCATATGCCCGGCTTCCTTCCTCATGCATCTGCTTCTTTCTCTCCATGAGAGACAGGAAGGACAGGAGCCAGGATCCACCACACAGTGAGAAAATAACTAAAAGTAAATTCAAGGACTCTAGAAATTGCCCAGGGGAACATGAATGCTGAGAAGGTATTGCTGCTCTGCAGTAATAGCGGAGAGGGGTCTGCCATTTAAAGCTGGAGGCAACTCTTAATTATCAATGTTGCCTGTCTTCAATTGTACGGACAGGATGTAAATAATAGTGGAGAGAAAGTGAGATGAAATAAAGTAAAATATGGAAAAGAACATCAGTGCTAGTGGGCAGACGTCTAGGTGACCCTGATTCCTTGGGACTAACCATTTTCCTCCCATATATCTCCTTATCTCAGGTTTTGACACCCAACCTCCCAGTGCTAGAGAACCTGGCGAGTGTGCTGCCCCTTCCCTCTTCCAGTTCCCCTCCTTGCCAGCCTGGCCGTCATGGAGAAGTCCCCACCACACCAGAATAAAACTAACAAGTTAGAGATGCCTGGATCAGGTTGACGGTAATTACTTTCCCATTAGACAGACTGTTCATCCGTACTTACCAAAGTTCTCTTAAATGAAATGTTGTGCTCTGTGATTTGAGAAAATAATCTCTTCCCAAAACCATCCAAATAATCTTTTAAACATAAAGGGAAAACACAGAGAATACCCAGCCCATTTTTCTGCTTATACAGTCCATTAGGAGTCATGGAGAAAAATGAGAATTCCAGCTCTTCAGGACTTTATAACTAGACCTCTTTTAAAAATGGAAATGGACAGGATACTGTTAGACTGATATTCAGAAATAACTAAGGACAATACTAATGACCCAATAAACAAATTAGAGTTTCAACCAATTAAAAAGAAACACATTGAGCAGAGTTTGTTTTTATGTCTTGAAAGGGCATAAAACAAGAGTAAACAGGAAAAATATCTCTCACCAAGGAGAGAACCAGAAAACATACCTGAGGAAGCTTCTAGTCTTTCCAATCTGCTGATCAGCCAGTCGAGGGAGCCAGAAAACTGAGCACAGTTTTTACGATTTCCTCTAATTAGAGCCGCTGCAAAAGAAGATGATTTCACATTGATACAATTTTCCAGTTCAAAAATCAAGGTAAGCTAATGAAAGTGCTCAAATGTTGGATGAAGAACTAAATATCTTCATGTATCACCTAAATCATATGCAAATACAAACACACAGAGAGAAAACTGACATTAAAAATTATTTGGTGTTTATTAATGGGACTGAAACAATCTCTGCTCATTGGAAGGAAGAAATTCCAGAGAGTAGACTCCCACACTAGGAGGTAGCAATGAAGGGGATGGTAAATCAGCAGCCCAGCAGTCCGCTCTCTTGGGTTCTGATACCTGCTGCTCTCAATTAGCCATGAGAGTCAAATATTTCATCTCCCTAGAGCTCAGTCTTCTCTCCCATGTGATAAAGACATTAGAGTAGTGTAGTTCTCCTGAACATGCAGCACAAAACACCAGGAGACATAACAGCAGGTATACAGAGGGGTGTAACTGAATGTCAATGGAGAAACGATGGGACGGCTATGGCTAGTTAAGTTTGGAAACCATGTGTCTTTTCCTACAGCTCTCCTTCCCACCTGGAGAGTCACATGGCATTCTAAAGACTCAGATTACCTGAGGTCACCTATTCTAACTGTATCTCACCTTTTTTACAATCCTTTCACCAAAGAATACTCCGTATATGAAATTCCTACATGACTTTTGTCTCTTTCAATCTAGTTGTTTTTACTTAATTAAAAAATTTAAAGTAAAAATTCAATGGATTAAATTATTTCAAAGCAAGCCCAGTATTTTTTTTAAAAAAAATAAATTCTGTCCTGGTGCTTACTAAGGGTTGGTGAGATTTTGAATATTTAAAGAGAGGCCAGTAATTTTAAGAATACCTCCATCTTATTTCATTATCTTTTTATAAGAAAGATGTATTAACAGGGAAAGGGTGCTGGGGATTGAACCCAAGGGTGCTTTACCACTGGGCTACATCTCTAGTCCTTTATATTTTTTGTTTGTGAGACAGGGTCTTGGTAAGTTACTGAGTCTAGCTTCAAATTTGCAATCCTCCTTTTTCAACCTCCTGAGTCACTGGAATTATAGGCATGCACCACTGTGTCCCTCAAGATATATTAATTTCATCACTGTGCCCAGCAAGATATATTAACTTTAAAATCAAATAATACAATAAAGCTACTCTTTTTCCAAAACAGAGAAAACAATGGCATCCACATTCAGAGTGGCATGGCAATCACCATCAGATGTGTCAGAGTGCTCTGCTCATCTCCAAAGTACAACAACTTTAAAAAGTGCATCAAAATGTTATTACACACAGGCTCTCTTCTAAATGAGGAACGAGCCTGCCATGCCTTAAACTGCTCTTTGATCTCTGCCTAGTTGGCCTCGAACACAAAGTTAAGACCCTTCCTCCTCCTGGCATCATTCTTCCTTTACTTCAGAAATATTGATGCAAATGCATCAGGCCCTGTGGCTGGCACAGCAAATTTGAACCTGAATATAAATCCCTTTCCATCTGATACTCTTATTGTACCTTTGCACAGGGCATGAAACTTAGAAGATATGTTATTTCTCAGCATGAGTGCTGGCACAGTCTTCTATGGAATAAGAATGTAGAGTTGTTAAATAACTAAGTTACATGTTAAATATAATAAAAACATTTTGAAGGAAACTTTTTTAAAAATGCTAGCTTGCTGAAATAATTTCATTAATGTTGAATAACTAACTAAATCCCTAAACTTTCATTGAGTCAGAATGTGAAATGCAGGCAATATTGGTAGTTAATCAAAAATTATTATTGCAAAAAAGTACTTTTTATTATGGATGGTCCCCAACTTAAAATGGTTCAACTTACAGTTTTTTAACTGTACAATGGTGCAGAAGTAATACACGTTCAGTAGAAACTAACCTTTAAATTTTGAATTTTGATCACTTCCTGGGCTACAGAGAGGAAATACCATGCTCTCTAGGGACAGGGATACTGAGCAATGGGAGAGAGCAGCGGATCCCAGTCAATCATGGGATCACCATAATTCGCAACCCTCTGCAATGTGCTGTGCTGCCAGCATGTGTGTGCGCATGTGGCAACGAGGGTTATGCCTATTCAATAAACTACACGAGGCATCCATAGGCCCCTTCCTCAACATTCCTTATCTTGGGCCCAGAGCAAAGGTGCCAGTCATCTATGGACTAAGATATCTGAAACTGTGAGCCCGAAATAAGTGTTCCCCGTTAAAGTTGATCTTGTCAAGTATTTTGGTCACAAGTAGTGTAAAAGCTAATTAAGCATTGCAGAAATGGTCACCTCTGCCATATTACAAAAGCAGCCATTCATCCTGTTTGTTGCATACTTTGAATTGTGAGAAATGAGTATTCACAGAGAGTTCACCAGAGTCATTTCTAGACATCTTTAGAAAATCATGCCTGCCTTCCATCATCCCACAGATTAATTTTGTGGATGTCAGGAAAGATGTATGAAAGAGGACCTCAGAACACTTTCAAACTATGAGTATCTGTGTCCACAGCATCTGAGGTCTCCCAGGTGGCAGCTCATACATCTACTTTTTTTCATTCTCCACCTAAAACACATATTAAATCTATCCATGTCAAATTCCAAATTATTATAGATCATAGTTCCCACATCCCCCTCCTCTTTCCAGGCTAAACACACACACTGAAGAAAAAAATAAAAGCAAAAGAAGGTTCTGACTTATTTCACACACAAACCTAGAAGCAAATCTACCATCTACCTATTTGGAGGAATGGGGCTGGGGGAGCTTCATGAATTACATAACCCTGTTGATATTTGAACCACACCTTTTGTAGCTGAGTAAAGGGCAATAAATTGCAAATAGATTATAGAATTTCCAATTATTGTGCAGATCTGAGACTCTCCCAGCCAGACTGAGGTAGAAACATGCATCCTTGATATGGCTATGTGTCAAGCAATGACAATGAATTTAACAGAAGTGGCAGCAGGTAGATGGTCCTGAAGTCTTCTGCTCATCAAGATTCAACAGTTTTATTTTGTTAATTTTTCTGGTTATAAAATCAATAATCACTATAATAAAATCAGAAATCAAGAGAAATTTAAAAAAAAACACACAGTTGTCTCTCACAATTCTACCTACCTAAAACACCTGTTGCATTAAAACTATCGTGTGGGGAGGGTGGGGGTGGGAGAGAGAAAGTCTATTTACACTGATAGAAAAATGTTCTGTTTTTTTAACTTAACTGGAATTAATGTACAGCTTTTCTTTTACCATCATTTTTCTAGCATTTGTCAGATATGTTAACTGTTTTTTTAACAAAAGTAATGCATTTCAACAGATAAATTACAGAATACACAGGAAATTAAAGTAGAAAATCAAATTCCTTCTTCCAAGAAGAAATTAAAGTATAAAATCAAATTTCTTCTTCCAAGAAGAAAAGTGCACTTTCAGAAATGTTCAGTGTATAAACAGGAGGTGCCTTTCTCTGTGTGTGCGTGTATGCATATGTATTTGGAATGAGGATTAAACCCAATGGCACTTAAAAACTAAGCCATATCCCTAGCCTTTTTAAATTTTTATTTTGAGACAGTATCTTGCTCAGAGCCTAAGTTGCTGAGGCTGGCTTTGAACTTGCAATCCTCCTGCATGAGCCTCCCGAGCTGCTGGGATTACAGGCATGTGTCCGGCTCTCTGCATATTTTCACTTTCTTGCTATGAGAATCTTAATCCATACATAGCAAACCTTTGCATTTTATTCTCCACTTAACATCAAGCCATAGGTTGTCACACTAAAAGGAGCAGCTACTTATTGTTTCATACAATTTTCCAAATGACAGCTTCATCTCAATTTTCAATAACACAGTACTGCCCTATGTAAGTGAACTGGAACTTACATAACCCTGGTATTAGAAAGTTTGCTTTTGATTTTATCTTATGTGCAAACAATTTTACAGTGGATGTCCTCTTCACATTTGTACAAATATGTCTGTAGGATACATTTCTTAAAGTAAAATTCCCCAAAATAAAAAGATACCTAAAATTTTATATATTTTGTCTGAGCAAAGTTTGTCTGGCTTTTTGAATTACATCAATTTACACTTCAAGAAAGAACACATTACTAGACACTTTTCCCCATGATGGGTATTTCAAAATTGTTATCTGTGTCAACCTACTAAGTAAAATGTTCTTATTTATTATTCCAGTTTGCATTTCTTTATTTGCCATATTGAAAGTCTTTTATTATTTATTATTCTTGGACTGAAGGTCTCTAACTGTTACCTATTTTTCTATCAGGTAATATTACCTTTTCTTACAGATTTATAAAAACAATATATTTTAAAAACAGACTTTGTCTTTTGTATAGCTTGCATATTTTTGCAAATTTTCATCTATTTTGATTCTATGATGATATAATCTTAAAAGTTGTAGATGCCATATAGTCAATTTCATCAATCTTTGGCTACTTACTTATTCCCATTGTTATTCAGATAGACAGGCAGTCCAGTCAGCAATTGACAGGCAACAGTTAGTCGTGAGTAATGGGACCATGAGATTAAGGGAGTAATTCTATAAAATGGATTACTGTGCTGACCCCCACATGCTTTCTTTTACCAAGCAATTTACCTTTAACCCTACCTGGCTTAAGTCAAAAGGATGTGTTATATTCTTCAGTAAGAGACCGATTATCTGCAGGAGAAATGCAAGCCCAAAATGCATACGGGAAGACCACAAGTTATCTGGGGGAAAATTTTTTTCACAGACCAGATCCTAGAACTCAGGGAGATGAGGTAAATTTCACTTAATTATAAAATCTGTAAGAACCAGTCAGCAAGGGCCAAGGTGACCTAGACCTGCCCTGAACCCTTGCTATGTGCAGTGGGGACTTGGAAATCTGATGTCATCCTGTCAGTCAAAAGTCTAGAGGTGGGCCTGGGAAAGATTCTGGAAACTTCCATCTGTAAGAACCAGTCAGCAAGGGCCAAGGTGACCTAGACCTGCCCTGAACCCTTGCTATGTGCAGTGGGGACTTGGAAATCTGATGTCATCCTGTCAGTCAAAAGTCTAGAGGTGGGCCTGGGAAAGATTCTGGAAACTTCCATGAGACCTATAATAGAACTGCAGGGCAGGGAGGGACACACCTCCTTTCTAAGAAGACCTACTCTCTCCCTTGAGAGAGTGCCCTCTTCCATCCCTTCTGATAAACTCACTACTCTACTCTGGGTGGCACGTCTGGTGTAATGGCAACAACTGGTGAGAAAGGACCGTGGGGCTGCCTCAGCTCTGCTATGGGCACTGTGGCTGGCTGTGTTATCTTTGCTACCAGTCCCTCTCATGCCACTATGAGCTCCAGAAGAACAGGCACCCTACCCTAGCTACCACTGTCCCTCAATGCCTAGGTCAGGGCCCCTCCCATGGCGAACAATCAATTCATCTTTGAGAAATGGATGAAGGTTCTATTATAATCTGAAAGTCTAGGTCCCCCAGCCCAAGATTCATATGCTGAAATCCTACCCCCCAGGTGATGGCCTTAGGAGGTGGGGGCTGTGAGAGGAGATTTAGGTCTTAAGAACAGAGACTGCAGAAATGCAACTAAATGCCCTTGTAAAAAGAGACCCTAGAGACATCCTCTCCCCTTCCACCACAGAATATGCTGGAGCCTTGAGCTTGGATTTCCCAGCTTCCAGGATAATGAGAATCAAACATCTGTGATTATAAGGCACCTATTTTATGGTCTTTTTTTATAGAAACCCAAATAGAACAAGACATTCTATCAACACCAAGAGATTTATCAGACGCCAAGTCCATGTGCCGCCTCCCGCTTGTTAGCCTCTGTTATAAAAAGACGTCCCACCAGGACACCACACAAGGAATTAAGATGCTTGAGAAATCAGGAAGAAGGGAAAAGGAAATTTTCTGAAGAATTTAAATAAACAAACACCCAGAATTACCTAGAAGAAACAGGTGTAGAGTGGGCAATGAACAGAAACTCCTGAGAGTAGCAAAGTGCAAATGTAAAGGTCAAATGAATTTGCATACTAGGGCATTTTCATTTGGGGTAAGTATACCTAGAATTGATTTCTTGTCCCATATAAAAAATAGTTTAAAAGTAAAAAATATCCATGTGCCTGAAATCACTGTGTTCTCAGTGACATGTGATATACATGGTTATTATACCATTATCTTCCTTTAAGGAAAATTTCTGGGAATTCTAACTATGTCAATATGAAGTAACAGCACCATCAAATCTTTCTTAATTAAATGAGATGTAAACAATTAAGGGAATAGACACATATATTTAATAAATATTCAAATTTCTTTGATACAGAGTAACACCAGACATGCTGGAGGTGTGATTCTGAATTGGAAGAAAGAACTGGGAGGACCCCTGGCAAAGAAACTAGACAGTGGGCAAGGGAGGAAGGACAAGATGAGGCTGGGAACAGGGCAGGGTGCTCTAGAGGCCAGGCTTAGAGGCAGGCAGGCAGCGTCAGCAGTTGTGGACTTTCGGTAGGAAGAGCATGAGCCTCCCTGCAGTCTGAAATGAAGATTGACGGGGAGGAGGCAGAGACAGCATCCAGAAATCTTACAGGATCTAGATCAAAATCACTCAAGTCTCAAATACAGTCTGACCTACATATCCAATGGGAACAAAACCACCGGAACAAAAACCCTCAAATCCTAAAGCCCTTTGTGTAAAAATGGCTTTGCTTTTTTACATGATCTTTAAATGCCTTCCTGCAGAATTTAAATCATGGCTGAGTTACTTATAATGCCTAACACAATCAGAATACCATATTAATAGTTGTTCTGATGTATCATTTAGGGTACAGTATAGATGCCAAGCTTCTGAATAGTTTTAGTCCATGTCCAATTGAATCCACAGAGGCAGATCCCATAGTTGTGGTGAGCTGACTGTATTTAGAGTATCATCAGGTCATGTGTGTGAGATGGAAATGGTATCTTCAGAGAACATGTGGGATTAGAGAGTATAAAAGTTTCAGACTGGAGATAACTATATAGAACGCTATACTTCCTCTCACAGACCAACCACAATCATGATCCTATGTGTACAAGCTAATCCAGAACTTTCCTTATTGTATCCACTAATTCTAAGTGGTTTTTTAAAAAAACCTACTTGAAAGGCAATAACAAGAGAAATGAAAGTAGATTTTGGAGAAGAAAATGTTACTGTGTCAACAGGGAAACAATAGTGACACAAGTATCCAAAGAAATTGGCATAATGGTTAGAAGAGCAAAGTAATGTGATCTGCTAAGCATTTGACACCTTTACCAAATTTAAGCCACCCAATGACAAGGGAACTCAATATCGCCATTTTACATTTTTCATTATAAATACAGGTGTCACTGGCTACCTGCCCAGCATGTTTCCAAGTGCCTAACATCATGAAGTCATGTAATCAACACAACAACCCTAAAAAAAAAAAAAAGGTACCTTTACTTCCTCCACTTTTAAGATCAGAAAATGGAACACAAATCTGTCACCATGCCCAAGGTCACGTCATTGGCAGAGCTAGGCAGCTGGGGGCTTGAGTGCCCTTTCAGGAATGGGTCCCTGGCCAGTCAAACCCAGTAATGGGAAAACTCCCTCCCCTGCCAGAATGACTGGCTAATGAAGTGAGAGCTGTGGTTTATCAAAGGTTTGGGAACTGACATGTTCTCTCTGAAAAGACAGCTAGCTACTAGGAGCAGGCTTCTTCTACTTCTCCCTGCCTATCAGAGGACACCTAGGGCATCAGGAACTGACAGCACCCTGCAGAGGCAATAAGTGGGAGCCAGCAGTACAGGAGGCTGACCACCTCAGAAGGCAGAGTGGAGACATGGTGGAGGGATGAGTGCCAGTTATATGAGCCCATAAGGCCCCTCTGTTGCTTAAGGCAGTTAGGGTTTGGAGACTCAGCTACTCAGGACTGAACACATCCCAAGACACACCATCCCGCCTGCAACTTCTCCTTCTCTTTCTATTTGACTTAGCCATTTTAAAATCACCTCTCTAGCCATGGTCCCATGAAAGCAAATCACAAAACTAGTCACAGTGAGGAGCTGTGCTCATGTCCCAGCCCCAGCACTTGGAGTACATTAATGCTACTTCAACAGACTCTACGATGATCACACTTACTCCCAGGGAACGCTGTGGAGGTTTGAAACTGAAGTGTGGGGTTTGCCAGAATGGACTTTTCTATGACCACATGAAAATCATCATAATTCCTTCTGCTCAAGTTCATGGTTCATAGACACATGACCTGCTGAGGGGCCAACAGAGACTGCAGGGACTAGTTGAGAGGAAAATATAAGATGTGTATTACCTCAGTTTACCCACAACCTTCTCTCTGCACATGACCCACTCTACCCTTAGACACACAAGTGACACACCTCTTCATAAAGCACCTCCTTTGAGGAATTCATCTGGTATCACAAGAGGTTAAGTTACACTGTGCTGATAAAAAAACAAAACAAAAACAAAAATACCCACTCCAGCCTGTCCCTCATTCAGAAATTCAGTGCTATAACTTCTGCACTTAAGAGAAAAACACACTTTTAGTATTTTGACACCACAAAATCCTTATCCTAATGATTCTGTGGGTAAAATAATGAATCCAGATGGCTGTAAACCTTCAGTGTCCTTGATTTTGCTCGCACAAATCCAACCAAATGTTACCTCTTATGTCGAATAAGCACAAGAGTTTTATTTGCTAAATTGTATTGTGACTCTATGATGTTTATTGAAGTTCAGTTACATTACAAAGAATTTTCAAATATTTTGAGTGCTCTACTTTCTTCATACTAAAAATGCCTTATTCTGTTCCATGATCCAGCACACCTTCCTATTCCACCAGAACCCATTGATTTCATCAATGCTCATTTGCTGAATATCCACTCCATGCCAGATGCTAAGTTAGATGACAGAGTTGCAAAATCTAGAAAGGGCTGTTCTTGCCTTTGAAACCAGGACCATACAACTAATTGAGATATGTGGTAGGTATAGATGAATGCTGTTATGGTTTGGATGTGAGATGTCCCATAAAAGCTCACTTGTGAGTCAATGCAAGAAGATTCAAAGGAGAAACGATGGGGTTGTAAGAGTCTTAACCCAACCAGTGATTTAATCTTCTGATAGGGATTAACTGAGTGGTAACTAAAGTGGTACGATGTGGCTGAAGGAGGTGGGAACTGGGATGTGGCTTTGGGTATATATTTGTATCTGGCTAGTGGAGTCTTTCTCTGCTTTCTGGTCACAATGTGAGCTGCTTCCCTCTACCACACTCTCCTGCCATGATATTCAGCCTTGAGGAATGGAACCCGCCTTCAATGGACTAAGACCTCAGAAACTGTGAGCCCTCAAATAAACCTATCCTCCTCTGTAATTGTGCTGGTTGGGTCATTCAGTTATAGCAGCAAAAAAGCTGACTAAAACAAATGCCCTCTACCAAGACAGCCACATACTCACTTGCAAACAGGATAAAATCTAAGGCCCCTCTCAGTTCCGCGTAAGAGATAAACAGAAGCAACTGCAATAGTTCAGGCCCATAATAACAAAGGCCTGTGTATCCAATGGTCCAACAAGAACATGGCAGAAACCACCCCCAGCAGCACTTGACGTAGGCTGAACACACTTAGAAACTGAGAAAAGCAGATCATCAAGGGAAGGAGATTAGAGCAGATCCCTGACATAAAGGAGCTGCAAGAAGAGGGAGGCTTGTGACACTAACTCTAAAATAAAAGTGAATTTTTAAATCCATATCCACATGGAGACCCCTCACCTCCACAAACCAGAGGATGGACAGCCTCTGCCTTTGCCCAAGCCAATCTGTTACTCCAGCTATTCTGCCCACTCAGATTTAGATAGTTAACATTATCAGTTACTGGTAAATACTTAGTCCTGATCAGCAACATGTTATAAAACTGCTTTAACTATTTGTGACCTTGTTAAACAGACTAACTCAGTTGCCCTAAGAACTCCAAGGTCCTTACCCAGCAACTCATATAGAGAGTTCAGGATGGATTTCCAGGATTCCCCAGCTTCTCGCCCAGCGACGTCGGCAAAGTGTGCGGCACTGCTATAGACGTGCAGTCGGTCGATGCACTCCAGAACAAGGCTGATCATTCCCTGGAGGATAAAGAATCCCCATCAGAAACCATCTGTGTACAGACAGAAAAAGCTAAACCAACTTAAGAAAGAAGTCTGGCTCAAAGTGTATTTGTTAATCATGAAGAAAATTGAGATATCTTATTTAAAGGACAGGAAGAAACACATTTGCACAGGAAATGAAATGTTCTTCAAATGATTCAAGTGATTTTAAATCCCAAGTGCCATTTTCAAATAGGAATGGAAGAATAGCATAAAAATACTTCTCAATTGCATTTGCACAGCTTAATGCTAGACTAAATGACTCCTTCATAAATGGGTAGGGTATTGTTAAGTAAGCATCAGAGCAGATCCTTGTTCTTAGGCATTACTATAACTACTGAATTAAAGTTAAAGAAAGCTCATGCAAAGATTTTTAAGAAATCATGAAGAGGTTAATCATTATGAAGGAGACTGGAGATGGCGGGCAGCTGCTTTTCCACTCCCTTGGTGGCTTGGGGTTCAAGCATCAGGGCTGCTGCTTCCCAGTGATATGGGTGAAAGGGGAATTCCCTGAAATTGTAGCAGCACAGAGAGTGTTTGAGAGACTCGGAAATTTGGGTTCACTGACCAAAGAACAAGAGAGGGTATATAGGAGCCAGGCTGGCTGTAGCAGCAGCAGGAGCAGTGCTGATCCACCAGAGAGGGGAGGGAAAGAAACACAATTGAGAGAGAAACCTGTATATGAGAGAGGCGGCCTGAACCTAAATGATCCAGAGGCTGCACCCTGAACTTATGTTTGACAAGTGCTCTTGCCAAGGAGAGTTGAGGTGGAGCCATCCAGAGGCCATCTCATCCAGCTGCTGCTGCAGAATCAGGAGGTCACAGCCAATACTGCCTCAAAATCCCAGCAGGCTCCTGCCATGGGGCCCAGGGTGTACCTAGCAGAACATTATTAAAATATGCACAGAGAAGACTGTACCCAGGGGGATTCAAGTCAGAAATGCAGAGGGGAGTCCAACTTGGCTTCTCCTTCTAGTCTTGTGGTTCATGTGACCAGCAGAGGTGGGTCAGGAATCTGAAGTAGGTGTAGACACACTCTGGGAATAAGCTGGGAAGGCTGTGTTGGTGGGCAGCAGAGGGGATGGAGGATTGGCTCCCCTGCTCCAACTTCTGGATCCCCCCGCCCCCGAAGAATCCCTGGGAGGATCCTGAGATCCAGACTCCAGCAAGGGTCAGCAACTGCCAGGGTATGCTGGCCCAGTCTTCCCCGGCAGACACCACCCAGCAAGACCCTGAGGCCTGATTAGACCTAAGCCCACTCACGGAACTCCCTTCAGAGAACTCTGCAGCAGGCCCACCCAGGAGTGCAGGGAGATGGTCTGTGCAGACAGAACTCCAAAGGACAGACCTCCCTTTCCACCCTACCTACACTGGTGAGAAGGGAGGCTGAGAGCATCTCCACCAGCCTCAGTCCTATGCCACTCTAGCTGGCAGCTCCACAAGCAATGCAAGAGAAGGAAGGGGTAATTCTAAGGGGTACAGAGCCCATGGAGAAATGGAAAGAACCCCCCTCAGGCATAGGCATTGATAATCCATTTTTCCTGGACAGTTCTAACTATCCTAGTAGAGACAATTCATTCATTTTTTATTAAGCATCTTCTTTCCTTCCTTTTTTTCCTGGTGTTCCTGCTGTGCTGATCAGTTCTTAGCGTATACACACACACACACATATATACACACGCGCGCACACATACACACACACTTACTTCTTTTTTATCATCTTTAGCATTTTTAATGCAGTTACTTTTCCTTGCCTTATTATTTGAGAGTTATAACACTTTGTTTTGTTTCTTATTCTTTCTCTTCTTCCTTCTCCCACTAACAGCTAAATCCCCTTGTTCTCTTTACTACCATTTTTGTTTTTGCTATTTTTTTTCCTCCATCTTTTTTTTTTCTTTTTTGGGTACTGAGGATTGAACTCAGGGGCACCCAACTACTAAGCCACATCCCCCGCCAGATTTTGAATTTTATTTAGAGACAGAGTCTCCCTGAGTTGCTTAGCATCTCACCATTGCTGTCTCAGCCTCCAAAGCCTCTGGGATTATACTGCACCCAACTTCTCCTCTATCTTGATAATTTTCACTTGCTACATCTCTTCTGCATTCTCTTGGTTCAAATTTTGGAAAATTCTAGGTTGTTTTTTGGGTTTTTTTTTTTTTTACATTCCTATTACATTTTCTTTTCTCTTAATGAACTGTATTTTCACCATCTTTTAGAACTATTTGGTCCATATAACTGCTGCCTCCACCATTCATGCTGTTGTAGTTATTAACTATTTGGATGGTTTCATTGACACCTTCTGCTTACTATAATGCCAGTTCTTGTTCACAACTATGTATTGTTTTTGCTGTTGGCAAGTGTTGACCCCATCATGCCTGTGTTTGGGTGACTAGTATTGTAGATGTCATAGTAAACACGGGGTATTTTAATGCTGTATAATAGTTTTGCTTCAATTTTTATTTTTTGGTTTTTACCTTTTCTGTAAAGTGCTGGGAATCTATAAGGAAACTACAAGTTCACAGGGAATAAACTCTGCTACTGAACTAAACTCAACCAAGAGACAGCGCACCCTGATCTACACCCAAATTAACTATACTCAAACTTCAACAACACTTTATTACAAATAATAGAAAAGTCAAAACCCTCAAATGAATGGTTAAATTCCAAGTAGGATGAGTTGGTGGGACTCCTCAGTTTCCACTCATGGCCATTCATTTCTACATCAAAAACAAAGAAAAGACACTTTGACAAGATAAGGTCATCCCCTAAAAAGACCCACACATAATAGGGAAAGAGAAATCAATTCTAAAACATACATAAAATTCAACCCAGGAATTCAAAAAATATGAATAAACAAAGTAACACATTATCTTCTCAGTTTATAATTCACCAGCAAATGACTACCAACGATATTGAAGTGGATAAAATATCATGAAGAATTCAAAAGAATGGTTATAAAAAATTATCAGTGATCTTCAAAAGAACACAAATAAGAACCAAAAAATTAGAAAGTTAATAAAGTGATAAATTCAATAAGGAGCTACACATATTGTAAAACAAACACAAACAAACAATAATCTTGGAAATGAAAGAAACAATAAATCAAATAAAATGGTCATTTACCTCCTTGTTAGAGTAGACCATGCTGAAGACAGAATCTCAGAGCTCAAAGACAAAGTGCCAGCCTTAAACATTTAGACAGTATTACAGGAAGGAAAATAAGTAACCATGATAGGGAATATACAAGAACTCTGGAATAACGTTAAGAGACCAAATTTGAGAATCATCAGAATTAAAGCGGGTTATGAGATATAGTGAATGGCATGGATAACCTCTTTAGTTAAATAATAACAGAAAAATTTCAAACCTTGACAATGAGATGGACATCCAAATACAGAACCCCAAACAGTCAAAATTAAACAACAATAAAAAAATTCTCCATAATGCATTATAACTAAAATGCCTAAAATAAAGAGAAAGAATAGAATTTTAGAAGCCTCAAGTGAAAAAGTCAGGTGACATTTAGAGGCAAGTCAATTAGAATTCTTTCCGATTTCTCATAAACTCTAAAATTCTGGAATGCTTAGAATGATGTGTCCCATGACCTGAAAGAAAATAACTGTTAAACAAGATTGCTATATCCAGAAAACTATCCCTCAGAATCAAAAAAGAAATAAAGACCTTCTAAGATAAGCAAAAACAAAGTATTCATGACTACTAAGTCAGCACTGCAGAAAATACTTACAGAAATATTCCACATAGCAGGAATAAAAAACTAACTCTAGAGCTCACAAATGAACAAATCTCATTGGAAGAGTAGTTAAGGAAATGAGAAACAGGACAAAATTAAGCATAAGAAATAAATCAAAATGGCAAAAATTAATAAACATCTCTCTGTAATAATATTGGATGTAAATGGTCTCAACTCTCCAAATAAAAGATATAGGCTAGTAGGATGGATTATAAAACAAGACATAACTATATGCTATTTGCAAGACACACCCCTTACAGGCAAAGACAGCCACAGGCTGAAAGTGAAAGGATGGAATACCATGTGAAGAGAGTCTGAACACCAGCAGAACTAGCCATTTTCATATCCAGTAAAACAGAATTCAAGTGAAACTTAATTAGAAAGTATCAGGAAAGTCATTTCATACTAGTAAAGGAACCAAACAGAAATCTTAGAAATGAAAGACACATTGGAGAAAAGATAGCCTTTAAAACAAATGCTTCTGGGAAAGCTGGTCATCCACATGTAGAAAAATGAGACTAGATGCTTCTCTCTCACTCTGCAATAAAGTCAACTCAAAATGGATCAAAGACCTCAGAATTGAACCAGAAATTGCGGAACTCCTGGAAGAAAATGTAGCATCAACACTCCAACATATAATAAGAGGCAAAGATTTTCTCAACAGGGCCTCTAAAGCTCAGAAAATACATTAATAAATTAGATGGCATCAAATTAAAGATTCTGCAAAGCAAATGCAAATTAAGAATAGGAAAAGAAAGCGTACTGAAAGATCTTTGCCACCTGTTCCTTAGACAGGGGATTAATACTTAGAACATATTAAGAATTAAAAAAACTTATAAAAACAAATTAATAAACATAAAACAATTAGTAAACATAAAAAAGAACTAAGTTTTCTCAAAAAAAGACAAAAGGTCAACAAATATATGAAAAAATGTTCAGCATCATTCACAATTTGGGACATGCAAATCAAAACTACACTGATACTTAATCTCACTCTAGTTAGAACAGCAGTTGCAAAAATACAAATAATAAAATGCTGGAGAGGTTGTGAAGAAAAATAAACATGTTGACACTGTTGGCCGGATTGTAAATTAGTATAACACCATGGAAATCAGTATAGAGGTTTATCAAAAGACTAGGAACAGAATCACCTATGACCCAGCTATACCACTACTTGGTATTTACCCTAAAAATTCAAAGTCAGCACACTATAGCAAACCCATGTTTATAGCAGCACAAATCATAATAGCCAAATCAGGGAACCAGCCTAGGTGTTCATTAATGGATGAATGGGTTAAGAAAACGTGATACACATACACATACATACACACACACACACACACACACACACACACACACACACAAAATGTAGTTTTATTTATCCATAAAGAAAAATTAAAGTACATCATTAGCAGTAAAATGGATGAAACTTTTGAAAATTATGTTAAGTGAAATAAGTCAAAGTCATAAAGCCAAGATTAGTATGTTTTCTCTCACATATGAGTGAAAGGGGAAAAAGGAAAAGAAAGATGGGGGTGATCTCATTAATAAAATATCAAAGGGAGATTGGAAGAGTAGAAGATACAAACCAGGACAGGGAAGAGGGGAGGGAAAGGGGAATACTGGGGAGTAATACTGGCCAAATTGTATTATTTTATCATGTGCATGTGTGAATATGTAACAAATCCCACCATTAAGTAAAACTATAATGCACCAATAAAAAAAGATAAAACAGACTATAAAAATTTCATTATACAATTCCATAAGAAGCAACCTAAATTTAAAAATATGCTTTTATTATTATTCCTAGATCAAGGTTTTCAAAATGAGGTGAAGCACATGAAAAGAAAAGCTATAAAGAAATGACTAATTAAATTAGCTTGATTTCATGCAGAGAGTTTAAGAGGTGCCACAGACCTAAAAACATTTCTAGGTCCTATGCAGACTGTCTTATATGAGAAACTGAAGAAGGAAAACAAAAATCACCTAATTAAAGCTGAGGTCAATAATATTTAAATCAACATTTAAAATTTAGGTTCAATTCTTTCAGAAGGTGAATAAACAGTGCAATAACTTGGCATATAAAGTTAAATGCTCCAATATATCACTCCTCAGAGGTGGGGGTGATCTCATTAGTTTGTGTTGGCATTTTTTTTTTCCTTCATACTAAAGTGGTCTCTGTTACATTATTTCTTTCTTACCTGTAGTAGGAAAAAAATCTCAAAACCTCATGTCACTTTCAAATGTCAGAAAACTGCTTTATAACTCAAAAACAGCTTTAGGGATTATGGGCACTCAGCAAAGTCCTCTAATCTTTTTTCTTAGATACTTTTGCAAACATTTTTTTTTTTTTTTTTTGTCATAGAAAAAAGGACTGTTCCTCATCCAGGAACATGGAGAACAACCGCCAGCATTGCTGACCTCCAGGTGTTCCTGTCAACCCTGACAGCCTCCCTGGAAGCTCTGGAATGTGAGGTACAGCTTGACACAACATCAGGATATTGGCCCTATCACTCACTTGTTCCTGTTATTCTGTTTATAAAGTATGGTTCACCAACTCTTTAGCAGTGGAAGTTCAGTGAAGTAAAATCAGACATAGAAATTTAATTTATGCCTGTCGAAACAAAAAAGTTTGGGGTGCCTATTCCTACAGGGAGCCCAGAACTCCGCCTCCTCCTGGGGGCAGTCTCAGTGCAGGTTCCCTCTGCACACAGAGCTCTTGTGGTTCTGATGCATCACTTGCAAGAAGCCCCCAGGCCCCTGCAGAGGCCCTTGATGCTTTCCAATGCCTTTATTTTGATTAAGGTTCTATATTTATGTAACCGACATGAAGCAAACCACAGTGATCACAACTGGCTAGTTGAGGGCTTAGATAATGGTACATGTCCCTTCCCAGGGGAGTGGCAAGTTTCATCCTGTAAAATTAACACTCACTGACAGAGAAATAAAAGTATGACCATTACCTCTCAGACGTGCTTCCCTGTACATTAGCATACCTGCTGCCCTCCACCTCAAAGTGGAAAGATACAGAATTCAAGGAGAATTTTCCCCACCAAGAAGTTGTCTTTCCAAGAAAACAAAGAAGAAGAAATGGGCAGACTCACCTCTTCCTGGAAGAGGTTCTGCCGATTCTTCAGGGCACGCAGCCTATTCTGCTTGTCCTCGTGCTCCAAGTGCTCATCGGGCGGATGGAAGTAGCCAATGAGGTCCTGCAGACTCAGGCTCACGGACTCGATGGGTAGGTCGACCACAGGAGCCTTCGCTTTCTTGCTGAGAGCATCCAGGCCCCTGAAATCACAGCAAATATCTGTCACTGACCCGGGATTTTAAGTTACTGTCTTTTGACAGATAAATTCACAGAGTTACTCACTCCCTCCACCACTGTGAAAGGCATATGGAAGGAAAGGTCTCCTGCCCTCCAGCAGCAGGATAAACACATCCATTAGCAACCCCGCCTGAAGCCTCTCACCTAAAGGCACAGGATCAAGCCGACAGAACTAGTGGTCAAAATATTTAGAAACCAACAGACTTCATTTTAAAGTACCATGTACTTTAAGGCTTGAGGCCACATCTTCCAGATTCATAATCCTAACATTTGCTTGTTGTTCGTTTATTTTTGAAGAGGAATTCTTTCAAGTACTGTGGTCACTGACACCAGTTTCTATACTGTTTAATTCCTAGCAGTCAAAAAAAATATATTCTATTGATGTCAATTCAAAAACTCTGCATATTAACTGGTAAATAACATATTAAAGTGCTTTTGTATTATCTAAAAGAAATGCTTTAAATGCTTTCAAATCTGAAGATTAGATTAAGAAAGAAGACTAAGGTGTATTTTCTCACCTTTGAAGCAAAACACTAGTGGATAGGAATGTGATAATTTGTTGAGTTTACTGAGATTCTCAGTTTTAAAGCTCACAGCTTTGAATGTGTCTGGAAAGCATGTTAAAACACGATGCTTTTAAATCAAAATTATTCCAAGGTAAAATGTTTGTTTAAAACACACACACACACACAAAAAAAAAAAAAAAAACCAGATACCATGAAAAAAAAAATCAGAGACTAGCACTGCTCTAGTAGATTCAGTGATACTCATTAGTATCACTGAATAGTCATAACAAAATGCAATGTGCAAAAATACTCCAAGTCTTGCTCTCTGCATCAACAAAATTGTCTGGCAATATTTTCCTGCAAAGAAATATTTGGGATTAAATTTTTCTAATGACATCGAAACATATATTAGAAATAAAAGGCTTATTAATAAGAATTAGCTTTGAACTTTATAATGCTCAAAACATTTAAAATGTATCATTTAAATGAAAATAAGTTATCATTTTGGAATACTGAACTTCTCCTTTATCAGTAAAAATAATAAAACTGCAACTATTCTAAAGTTTTTGAGTGAAATCCCATATTAATTTTGTCAATAGAATTTATCTACTCCCAGTTTCATCATTTTCATAATTTTTCTATTTATTACAAGAAGTACCATATAGAATAATCCAATTAATAAAATACAAACAAGGGATACAATATTAACATGACACTTACCCCATCTCTTAAGTCTCTAAGCCTTACTCCATCTGATGAAGTTTAAAGTTTAAATGAGGCAAAGAAATGAAATAAACACTAGGGATACTCTGAGGCTGCATGCTATGCACATTCTTCAGTCATACAAATGCCTTCCCCCCGACACACACACGTGGGATGATTTATAAAAGAAGAAGATAATGATTAAGAAAATAGTATTATAATACTGGGCAGGAAAGATCTTACAATGGAAAGTCAAAAATGGTTGATTAATTTAGCTATGATGAGAAAAGACTTTAAAATTCTTTCACAAAGTAATACAATGTAGGAAATATTTGCAAGTTATATAAGAAATAGCCTCATAGAAACATTAATAACAGAATCAACAAAAGGAGAAATATAATCACTAACATAAAATATATCCATTCCCAAAATTTACAAGAGCAAATTTTGAAAAACAAGATACATGTACAAATTTGTAAGAATGTATACCTTGCTAACACCTTCATTATATTGCTTTATCTGTATATATAAAATCTGCATATTTTAAGAAAATTTTCCTCTCATCAAATATGCAAATTTAAAGAGAGATGATATCCGTCCTGTACAGGTCACGTGGTAAACTGATATACTGTTAGCAGAAAACACTTTGAAAACACTTTGGCCACATTTGATTGAGTGTGTGGATATGGAACTGTTTCAATCATTAGGTGAAGAAATCAGTTATTACAAGGACTATTTTTTAATGTAGTTCGAAACTCATCCAACATCTAGGCTTCATTATTTCCTCTGTCAAAGGGAATTAAGTCAGTCTAGTACAAACACAAGTTGCAGAGTAATCCCTACCTGTAGCTCTCAATTACAAATTACATGCACAACTTCTAAAAACATGTCCTTTATCCTTCATTGAAAAAAGAAACATAGGATTGTCTAGAGCATTTTGTATTGTGTTCTGCTGACATTTACATTTTGGAATTGCATATTGTAAACCCAGAAAGAAGATGAAAACAAACATCAAATCACCACGACAACAAAAGCAAAAGTACCTTATGAATCTATTGAAAAGGAAGACAGTGCTCCGGATGACTCGGGCTGTTCGTGATTCTTCGTGCTGAGATCTGGACAAGTTTAAACCATCGTCCATGTGGCCTTCGTGGTGCATAATAGCCTGTAAGAAAGCAGAAGTGATGCCCTTATTCCAGATATCCCCCTCCCAAGCCAGCATGAAGATGATGTGCTCCAAAATTGCTGAGCAGTAACAGCAAACAGAATTAAGAAATAGGTGGAGGCAACCCAATGCTGTCATGTTCAGATTAAATAACACACACAGCTCTTTGTACACACTAGCCTTCAATATATTCATTCAGTTACTGTTTTACAGAATGAGTCAATAAATATTGAGCTTAATGAAACAGCAGGGCATTTTCACATATCTATATTCAACAAATGATCTCTGGCCTCAGCAAACTGTGAACAAGAGGCAAAGGGGAGATTACACACTGCATCCCATTCCTGCAGCGTCACCGGCTACACAGCAGCTCCCAAGAGGCTGACCAAGCCCTGAGCAATGCTTCCCAAGCCTCGAAGTTCAAAACCCTGTATTTTTATTAGCTTTTCTGTTAGGCTCTCTGTTTTGAACTTTCTATGAAAAGATAACATTAGGAGAGGTAAGTGCAAAAATTCTAAGAGAATAGCTCAGTTAATTTTACAGAGTGAACACATATGTGTAACCAATGTCCAATCAGGAAGAAAAACACCAGAGCAATTTAAAGGCCCACCCCATGCTCCGAGCTCCCTCCTGCCCCATCTTTGTAGTGCCTGCCACCTTCCTGACTCCACAGCTCGGCTCAGTTGTGCCTGTGTGTGAGCAGAACCACACATGTGCTCCTGAGAGTGTGCCCCATTTCAGGAGACACTTCCAGCCAAGTAGCACATGAACTGAAATTAGTGATTGCAACTAAAATTATATACTAAAAAGCAAGTAAAGAGGAATTCCCAATACCAAACTCAATGAGATAAAGATGACTTGCAGTCAAAGGCAAGATTATGGCCAGGCTCAATGGTGCACACCTGTAATCCCAGCTACCCAGGAGCCTGAAAACAGCTAGTTGGAGACCTGCTTCAGCAACTCAGTGAGAGAGTGTCTCAAAATGAAAAGGAAAAAGAACTAGGGATGAGCTCAGGGGTAGGATATTTGCCTAGTATGCACCAGGTGTTGGATTTGATCCCCGACACACAACACAGACACACACAAAACACACAATACACCGACAAGTTTATACCCTTCCATGCCTTCATTAAAAAGGAATTACTAAAATAATAGAGCTCATTACTCATTCTATGACTTTAATAAAAACAAAACCAAATTAAAGTGAAAAAGTGGAATTAATGAAGATTAAAAGGGGAATTAATGATCTAGAAATAAAGCACTAGAAAGGATGAATAAGCACAAAATTTGATTCTTTGAGAAGATAAACAAACCTCTCACTAACCAAGCTAAAAATAAAATAGAAAACAAAACCAAAGAAGATGGGAAATTAATTACAATAATAAAATACTATGTGCAATTCTACAGCAGGGGAAAAAAGATGATGACAAGAGGGTATTCCAGAGGAAAAAGATAGATTCATGGCAAATGAAGAATAATCAATGTAGTCAGGCAGGGGCGCAGGTACCTGTGGTCCCAACTACCCAGGAGATTGAGGCAGGGGAATGACTTGGGCCAGGGAGCTAAGAGCAACCAGGGCAACATAACATGACTTCTTCTCAAAAAGGAGGAAGACAAAAAGAATCATCAAAAGGATTCTCTCCAACTAAGGTACAAAATTAGACAGGTGTCTGTAGAAAAAATTAGAGAGATGATTTGGTTCAATTTCTGAAAGATCTTAGGACTCCATGGTTTCACAAGTGAGTTCTGATAAACCTTCAAAGAACAGACACTTCTGATGGTAGACCTATGTAGACACAGGTTTAGCCAATTACAGCTGAATCATGTGAGAGAGTGCAAGAGTGTAAGAGTGTGAGTGTGTGAGAGTGTGAGTGTGTGAGTGTGTGTGTGAGTGAGTGTGTGTGAGTGTGAGTGAGTGTGTGTGGAGGAGGAGGTGTTTTGGGTAGAAGGGATTGAACCCAAGGGCGCTTAACCACTGAGGCACATCCCCCAGCCCTTTCTATTTTTTGAGAGTGATATCCTAAGCAATTTAGTGAGACCATAAATTGCTGAAGCTACCTTTAAACTTGTGATTTTCTTGCCTCAGCCACCTGAGCCACTAGAATTACATGCATATACCACTGTGCCCACCTCAGCATCTGTTTTAATGAAGCCATTTTTTACATTTTTAATAGAAGAAAAAAGACCAAAGAAGTATGACACTTCATAACATATGAAAATAGTATGAAATGCCAATGTAATTATACATAAATAATTTAACTTTCCTTATGAATATATATTCAACAATTCTGAATAAAATAAATATATACAAATCTAGGATTTCAAAATAATAACACTAGTCAAGTACAGCTTATTCTATGTAGAAATTTTTCAAAAATTGGAAGTCTATGACTTATTCATCAATGAGCTAAAGAACACTAAAATGTGATTTAAAAAAAATATTTTATTAAGTTGTTCATAGGCATTTTATTTATTTATTTATATGTGGTGCTGAGAACCAAACCCAGTGCCTCACACATGCTAGGCAAGTGTGCTACCACTGAGCCACAGCCCTAGCCCTAAAATGTGAATTTTATCTCCTTTAATTGATAAAAGTTAGCAATGATTGCTGAATTTTAAAAGCTAAGTAAAATCAGAATAGCAAGAGACTACTTAAATATAAAAATAATGTCAGTTGTTCTATGGATGCAAAACCTGCGACTTCTGTGAAACAGGAGTAAAAAGATTGTGCTGGCCAAAGAGGCAGGGGTAATTTGGGAGGGAACGCTGGGCAACTCTCCTGGCAACCATCGGGGAAACAGAAATCTTCCACATGGAGGTGTGTGTCTGGTAGCACTAGTGCAGCCATCTGTTAAAATGCTATAGCTAAGCTTTGATGAGTACAGAAAGTTCCCCCCTACTAGCTGAAAACGAGGAACAGTCACAAGCTATTATGAAGTGGCAGGATCCTGGAAGTGTCACAGAAACAAGGAGAGCACTGTTGATAGTGAACAATGGATCGTGCAGGTGCTACTTCTCTGCTTGTTACACTCTTTGCCTTGTGTGTATTTAAATTTTCCAAAAGTCCTACACCAACCAGGTTCAACAGTAGGACCTAAGAAATGCTTCACATACGCTGAATCCCTACAGACAAGTCCATTATTTATGAAGCTAGATCAAAGAACTCAAAAACAAGTGATCATCTCATGGTAATGGTCCTGAAAGGGAACTGAATGAGGACCGACACCCCAAACTCTGAGGGAAAGTTCCCCAGGATGCACCGAGCCAGACCCAGAAACGCAGCTTCAGACTCCCTCCCTTCAGTATGAACACAACAACAGCAAGTGACCTACACTGTTTGTGTGTGTATAGATGGTGATTCATAAATCTACTGAAAATAAAAACGCCTGCCTCACTTAATTCTTTCATTTCAAGGTTTCACATTTCTAGAAGTAACATGTCTTGTTATTTGGTTCTACGCAATGTGCTCCAGGTCAAGTAAAAAAAACATGAGCAGTCTACTACCACGAGCTCCGCTGGGGACTCGCAGATGAGGACACCTCGTGGCCTAGTAAATGCAATGGCAAAAGGAGAGCATATAAAATTTAATAAGTTATATACAAACATTAATGAGAACAGAAAGGAGGGTGCAGTGGATCAGTGAGACAGGGAGAACTTCTAAATGATCTTCATTGTTAACCTCGAGAATGGACAGGAGTTGGGCAGACACAAGTATCCAAGTACTCTCAACAGTAAAGGGACAGGTATGTAAAAGCCTTGGATTTTTGAGGGACTGCAAGGAGTGCTGCTGTCAGGGATAGTCTGGGAAAACTGAGCACCACATCTACATATTGGCTAAAGAACAGGGAAATGGGGACATCCCAAAAAAGTGACTCATGTACCACGGAGGAAAGGTCAGTGACATACTCAGTAGCAACATGGACAGAGAGTAAAGGAAGACCACACCAGAATCCAGAATTCAGTGCATCTATTCACTAAATATTTAAAATGCATGAATTATATAACCCTGTTATATATATTGTGTTATATAATTCTATATCAGTATTGTGACTTACACAAAGTAGTTTACCTAAGAAAACCAGACTCTACTGTGATGGGATTTTTTAGGGTTACATGGGCTAAAAACTTACAATTTATTACTATTTCACTTTCTCCACTGTTTGCTCCCATTTTTAAAAATGTGCAGATGGGGTTGTGTGCATTGGCAAGCAGCTTGATGTACAGCCTCACTTGGCTGTGACACTAAAGCATATGGTGGGATGTGACCTTCAGTATGTAAAGTAATGAACTTTGGCAGGTGGCTGAAAGGGCTCGCTGCCTCTTTTGGACTTGTGTTTGTGTTTCCTGTTCACAGTACAATGATAACTGTTTTCATGCAGTCCTACCTTACGTTGTATGGACCCCATTCTCACGGATTTCACATCCACCGACTGGTAGGTAAGCCACAGGCCCGTGTCCACGTGTTGTATGTAGCATACCGAGTCACCGTATTTTATCTCAGATGTTCCCATGCCATCAACCTCTTTCCTCACCCCCACGTCAAGCTTTTCCTGAGAAGAGACAGAAGAAGTGATCAGCACACATTTAGAGAATACTGCTCTGTATCCACAGGACTTTGCCTTATTATAAATGCTCCTTGAAAAAATCCAGCCCTCTGAAGTCCCTGAAAAAATAGCAGTCAAATATTCTTGCAGTTCAAGCTCTATTAAAAATCAAAATGGGAAACTACAAAAATTAAGAACATGTTCTTAAATTGTTCACATTGGTAGAAAATTATTTTGGCTATAACATGAAACTTTATTTTGCTTAACAGCAAATGACAAGGCAGAGATTTAAAATGAGCAACTGAGGCTAATGTTCTTCCTAGGTTTACCCACACACACATTATTGGTGGCTAACAGCTTAGGTTAAGGGCTGGGAAAATTTAGTTTTATGTCCAATCTCTGTCACTTATTACCTCTAGGACCTTAACAAGTTAGCTAGAATTTTTAAACCTGTTTTCTTCTCTATAAATAGAATTAAAGTAACTTGCTTAAGGATCAGAACAAAACAAATGAGATAAAACATATACAATTTTTAGCATAAAATAAGCACTTTAATAATCCTTTGACACAATAGCTAAGCTATGGAACCAACCTAGGGGCCCTTCAACAGATGAATAGATAAAGAAAATGTGGTACATATACAAAATGAAATATTACTCAACCATAAAGAAAAAATGAGATTACGACATTTGCTGGTAATTGGATGGAACTAGAGACAATCATGCTAAGTGAAATAAGCCAATCCCCCCAAAAAACAAAGACAAAATGTTCTCTCTGATATGTGGGTGCTGACTCACAATTGGTGGGGGGAGGGAGGAGTGGAGGTTCACTGGATTGGACAGGGTGGAATGGGGGAAAGGGGGTAATGGGACTAGGAAAGACAGTAGAATGAATCAGACATAACTTGCCCATGTTCCTATATGAATATACGACCAGTGAAACTCCACATCGTGTACAACCTAAAAATGGAAAGTTATACTCCACATATGTATGATACCTCAAATATACTCTACTGTCATGTGTAACTAAAAATAAAAAAAATTTTAAACTAAGCTTTCAACCAGGACAATGGTGATGATGATGTTGATGAGATCATTATTGAACTAAAGCTGTCGCTCACTTTTCACAATGCCAAGGTCTTCGTTTGTAAAGGGGCTCGTCTTTAGGAACTCACTCAGCCTTAAAGTTCTGCAATGTCCTTAAGACAACAATGAAAAAGCCTAATGCACCTCCTTTCGGTGGTTTCTTATCCTTTTTTCATTTGGTCTAAAATTTCTTGATAAATTTGCTTTAAGTTTCTGCTGTGTCTTTGGTTATTTGATTGCTTTTTGAAATTACCTAAATTATGTAAAAGTTTTTCAATTTTAGAGTCAAAAGGTGTGCATTATACAAAAGAAACAGTTCAAAAAAGTTTGACAGGTTATTCATATCATTTCTATTCATTAATAATAACAAATGATCCTGAAGTGATTATAAAAACTCCAAATTAAAATTAAAATGAGTTAAAATTATCAAGCAGAAAGGTTAGGGTCATCTAAGAAAATATACAATTATCAATTTAGTTAACTCTGAGAATAATTTGGAACACTATTATAAGGATCTTCAATAAAACAGGTAATAAACCATTTTAATTTCAGTGTATCAAATGAGATGAAGTACTAATCTACTTATACTAACCCTGTCATCAGAAAATTAAATTCTGGAGAAAATATAACAGTATAATTATCTCTTCAGAAAAAAACAATAAACCTCTGGAAATTTTTAATCTGAGAAAGTGACTATTTATAAACTCACAGATTATATTATGAGAAGTCACACAGTCTTTAATTGTGAAGTTATATTTTGTTTGCTTTTTATTGAAGTGGTTACCATCACTCTGTGGACTTCAAGTCTTAATTATGAAACTTCAGGATAACTGTCTAAATAGTTATTCTGTACTATTAAACTGGTCACTCTGAACTTGCAAGGACTGCTGAAGGGACTTTAGAAGAAGGAATTGGGATCATTTACTGGAGCTTTGGCATAGGAGATATTCAAGTGAAAATCATCTATACTTTGAACAACCATAAACATAATACCACATGAACCAAAAATATGTACATGGTAAAGCTAACAGAAAATGAGCCTGAAGTAAGAGAAATGAAGTCAAGATCAAGCAAGTCCTGACCTCACTGAAACTCTGCACTAGCTGCCTGCACTATTCTAGAATAGTGTTCCTGACCATGTATCAGCTTCTCAGTGTTATCATCTATTAAACTGACCTGCTCAGAGAAACCATGGAGTGGAGCTGCGTGGATCTTCCCAGGGACAGCTACTATGAAATTTGAAATATAAATTTAAAAGACTTTCAGAATCTATTGAAAGGCACCTGAGAGGGACCAAAAGTAGGGACAAACTAGAGAGTGAACAGCACCTAGCCTGACAAATAAGTGGCTGCCTTTAACTCCAGCATGCTCTTCCCAATTCTCCTGCCATTCAGTCAGAAGGAAGCTGTAGTCCTTGGTTGAAGTGTCAAGGGACACCTCCGGACTCACAGGCAGCCAGAAAATTAGACGGGCTAAGTCCTCAACCAAAGAGGTATCCGAAAAAATCTTCTTATAAAGTTCATGCAAATTCTTGCTGAGCACTAAATGATGCATGCTCAGGGGGTGTCCAGGACAGTGGCAGTAGATAGAAAGAACTGAGCAGAAATATGAGCAACTGCTCTGACAGAGAGAAACTGGAATTTCAGCCCAACAAGGTTAAAGACTTGCAAAGCTAGAAGAACCACTCAGAAAAATACATAAATACAGAGTCCCTACAACACATCATTTTCTAATATCTAATACACTATCAAAAATAAGGTTAAAAAATATAACACACACATACAGCACTAGAAATCAATACCCCTTTATCTTACAATTAGCAAAGACTGCAAAGCAACTTTTGTGAATAAGAAATATGTTCAAGGGCATAAAGGAAAATATATACAAAATGAATAAGTAGATGAGTGATCTCTGCCAGAAAATACAAATTATAAAAAAAAAGAAATGATACAGCAAAATTGACATATAAAACTCAGCTGAAGCAATATGACCTCAGACTGGAGTTGTATGACAAAACATCAATGAAGTTGAAACTAGACAAACAGAAATTTTCCAATCTGAAGACTAAATTGCAACTAAAAGCACTCTAAGTACTGTGGCACTAAATGGTAACATCCCTCAAAAGACTTTGTGAAATTTAATTCCCATCCCTTATGTGATCATTCAAGGAAATGCCAAGATTCTCCGTTATTCTTACAGGCAAAAATGTAAGATAATGTAACAATCATGAGGACCCTGAAAATGTTCAAAGATAAAGCAGTTCTTTTCAACACAGCCTAAAATTATTGTAAAGGCTGCCGTTTCTCCTGAAAGATTTCTTTGGATAGATGTTCTCTCTGGATTCATGTATTCTCATGAACACTGTACCTCTACTCTCAGGGCAATGTTGGTAATTCACTGAAATTGCTACATATGCTCAGGACCAGTTCAGTGGCTGTAAATACCAGATTCTCAGTGAAGACCTAATGAACATATCCTGATTTCCCACAGAACATGTGCCAACAAACTGCTCCCAAGATGAGCACTCTTGAATTCTTGAAAAATCTAATTCTCAAATGAACATCAAAAAGGTTCCAGAAGTAAAAGAGATTGGCCTGAAAGATAGCAAGTAAGATTTTGGCCTTTGGTATACTAAACTGACTTATTATGAAGCCAAAGCTATTTATGGACAATCATGGCCTTATGAAGACATAGATTCATCAAACTAGGCTCATTAGGAAACTAAAACTCTTAAGTTTATATTGTAAGTACCCACATCAGGCAATGCAGAAGAATTTTTCTAGTATTAGCTGAAATCACCCTTAAATCTACCCAGATTATTCCGCAAGGTATGAGATAAGGAAAAAAACTTATTATACCTAGATGATAGAGTTTGGTTTATTGTTTTTGACATGTTTCCTTAACATAAATAATGGTTAAATTCAGAAAAAATTAAAAGGCCCCACAAAATTTTTATTTTCTCCTTTCTCAAGCCGTAGTGCAGCATATAATAGTTGTTTGCTGTAAAATCAATCTAAACATTTAGGAAGATCGCAGAGATCACTGGGACTGAGCAGCTCTGCCAGGCTTCACCCAGCCCAGGCAGAAATGCCTTAAGTACATAGCTCTCTTGATCCCTGGGATTCTGAAATCTCAAACATTCTCCTGGGTGGGCTTGTGGAAAGAAGGTCTGGGAGGGACTCCACAGTGGAAAGGACACAGGCCAGGGGAGCAGCCTGGAACCCTGCACATGCCCTGCCCCTGGGTTTGATACATATGTGAAGTGCTGGACATGCTCCGAGTACTCATGGCAAAGATGAAGGAATCCTGCAGATGCAGCTCAGACCTACTCAGTTAACTTCTAGGCAACGAATTTATCCTGGGTGGGTGACAACTAACAAGTGAGATCTATAAAAAAGAATTCAGTCTTTCCCTGAGCAGGAGACTAAACACATCTAGGGCCCAGGGCCACTCTGCTCTTGATCTTCCTTCCCAACAGCAGAAGGTTACAGCAAGCTCACACTCAGGTTTACTGCCATTAAAAACCTGTAACGGGATTTCTATATTTTCTGTATAACCATGAATACTTTTACTATTATTTTGTCAATACCTCTTCTGAAAAAGTTACTGTGAATGTTTCTTTAGAATTTAATTCTAATTAAATGAAAAGTTCATTTCATTGACAACTTTAACAACTCTGTAAGAAAAAAACAAAATAATGTATTTTTAGTTACATAATCATTTGATCACTTAAATGACAGGTGATCAGTTTATCTTCTCTATTAGTTGTCATTATTAAGACTTTAATTTCTTACCAAAGAGGGCTCAGCTTTATAACTCAAGTTCAAAGTCTAGATCTTCCTCAGAGTTTATCTAAGCTTCAGTTCCCTCAAATGCATGATGAAAATTAAAAAGCATCTGAGCAAGGTACAGTGGTGCACA